TGTCCTGTGTCCTGTGTCCTGTGTCCTGTGCTCTGTGTTCCTGTGTCCTGTGCTCTGTGTTCCTGTGTCCTGTGTCCTGTGTCCTGTGTCCTGTGCCCCTGTGCCCCTGTGTTCCTGTGTCCTGTGTCCTATGCTCTGTGTTCCTGTTTCCTGTGTCCTGTGCTCTGTGTTCCTGTGCTCTGTGTTCCTGTGTTCCTGTGTCCTGTGCCCTGTGTCCTGTGCCCTGTGCCCTGTGTGCCCAGAAAGCAGTGCACATCACTGATTTGCAACAGAACAATTGACAAAGGAATCCTGTTCTCTGCCGTGCCAGTAATGATTAGCTGTTGGTAGTTAGGGAGTGTGTGTGCTGGCGTTCCAGGAATCTCGTTAGCACACGGACTACCACCTCTTGAGATTAATGAGTTCCAGAGCTCTGGAAGCAGGTCAGAGATCAGAGGGGAATGTCTATTCAAATGACAGTGCTGGGTCCTGGGGAAATGGGAACAGCCTGGCTCCAGTCTTCCTGGACCGAAGCACTGAAAGAATCCACACCTGCAGCCGCAACGCTACTGTATAAAGAACATCTGCCTCTCAGCCGCGGGCTGTGGGCAGCAGGACAGACACACGGGCCGGGATGCAGATGGAAAACTCCGGGATGGGGGAAGAGGCACCAGGGAGATCTGGGCGTACAGTAGTGTCTTTCCCTGGGGGGTGTTGTCCCAGGGCCATCACTGTTGGTCCTAGCCTCCCCACCGGCCCGCCAGCAGGAGTCCCTTCTCACTCTGGCTCTGGCCCGGGACCTAGCAGGTGGGCTCAGTCCTGTTTGTCTTCCCCCCGTGGAAGAACCCCAAGGCCAAAGTCACACGCCTTTTCGGTCCTCGCAGTTTTCCTGGTCGGGTTTATCATTAACCTGGGACGGGGTTGCTGAAACATGCACACTCGGGCGCTGGGCTGGCTCCAGCTCAGTATAAAAGCCTCCGGCGGGCAGGCAGAAGGGATCAGGCGAGCTGGCAGTGCAGGCTGACGCCATGGCGCGGGCAGTGTACGGATTCCAGTCAGCCCGGGCGGGCAACGGGAGCGAGGGTCCAGCCATCGCCATCAACAACCCTGCCGACATCTCCGTCATCGTCATCTACTTCCTGGTGGTCCTGGCTGTGGGGCTCTGGGTAAGCCCAGTACTGGGGGGGCCGGGGATTTGTGGTGTGGAGCCGGTGGGGCTGCAGGGCAGCGCTGCTCAGGTGGAGCAGACCAGTGGGGACGTGGGTAAGGGATGCACCAGTGGGAGGGGGGGACTGTGCCCTCTGCCAGGGCTGTGCCACACTCTACAGGGACAGACAACACATGGCACGTCAGTACAGTTTAGGGGTTTATCCCCCCCACTCTCCCGGCACTGGGCACAGGGCAAACTGGTCAATTCACAAGAGCGGGACTCCCCAGTCCTGGGGAACCACTGGTGACCCCCCGTGTCTGCTGCTTTATATAAGAGCAAGGGCTCCGCAGAAACTGGGGTCAGAGGGCTCTGGGCGGAGTGGTGGCTCTGTGGCTCAGGATCTGCGCCTGTGGCTGGGAGGTTGCCAGTTCAAGTTCTGCGGCCGGCAGAGGAATCCTACTCTGTTGGGCCCCTGAGCAAGGCCCTTCACCCCAACTGCTCCAGGGGCGCCGTACAATGGTAGACCCTGCGCTCTGACCCCAAGCTTCCCTCCCTGTCTGTGTGTCTGTGACTCATGGAGAAAAGCTGGGGTATGCAAAAAGATGAATACCTAATGCAAGAAATTGTAAAGGGCTAATAAAGAAACATTATTATTATCATTATTACATTATTAGACCGGGAGGCCCCTATCTTACAGCCTTCGCTACCACTTGCCCGGACGTGTGTTTCAGACACTGACTCCACCACCGCTGTCATGACTGTGAAATGTGCAGTGCTGTCCACTCATGTTCTCCAGTGCTGTGTACAGTCACTGGGACTGCAGCCCTGGTCCCCAAGAGCCCCAGGAAGTAACCCCAAAACAGCCCTTGTACAGTAGCTGTGAATAACAGACATTTTCAACTCTTTAGAGACCCTTAAAGAGTTCCTTTAATGGAGCACATCTCTTGTTCAGTTGAATAATTAAATCATTTACAGTTGCAATACCTCCAGATCTTTAGATCTTTAGAAAGATGTATGTGAGTGTTAGAATGTACTGGACTGCGACTCTTAATGATCCGAGTTAGAGAGTCCCAACGCACGATCTGTATACTCCTAGGATTCAGTGAGCGTAGTATATACTCTCCAGATGTACAGCATGCACAGTATACACACCCCATCATTCTTGTTTATTATACAGTAAGGTTATATATGGGCTGTACACAGCAGTGAGGAAAATTATAATATTATCATTTATCCAGAATGGTTATATATTGACTGTACACAGATGTGAGCAGGATAATAATAATATTGTTTATGTAGTAGAGTTATATATTGACTGTACACAGATGTGAGCTGGATAATAATATTATTGTTTTTGCAGTATAGTTATATATTGACTGCACACAGCTGTGAGCAGGATAATAATATTACCATTTATGCAGAATGGTTATATATTGAGTTTACACAGCTGTGAGCAGAATAATAATATTATTGTTTATGCAGAATGGTTATATATTGACTGTACGCAGCTGTGAGCAGGATCCTTAGTATAATGTAACTGTTTAAACAGTATTGGTGTAGGAGTGGTGTATACAGCAAAGGGCAGGGCTCCTGTCTTGTGTGGGAAAGATTAGACAAGGAAAGGCAGCAGTGCTGGGAACTGAGGTCACTGATAAACAGACCACAGAAACGAACGCCCTTCCCCTCGCAGGCTCCCGGGGCAATCAGGTGTGGCGAGGAGGTTGGGATTAGAGTCCTACTGCACAATCAGTCCATCTGAATCCAGTGTACAGCAGATCCACTCCAGGTGTCAGTGTGTACAGTATATAGAATCCAGGTGTCAGTATGTACAGTAGGTGCTCTCCAGGTGTGCAGTGTGTACACTAGAAACACTTCAGGTGTGCAGTGTGTACAGTATATAGAATCCAGTTATGCAGTGTGTACAGTAGGTGCTCTCCAGGTGTCAGTGTGTACAGTATATAGAATCCAGGTGCCAGTGTGTACAGTAGACTCTCTCCAGGTGTGCAGTGTGTACAGTATATACAGTAGAATCTAGGTGTCAGTGTGTACAGTAGACTCTCTCTAGGTGTTCAGTGTGTACAGTATATAGACTCCAGGTGTGCAGTGTGTACAGTAGATACACTCCAGGTGTTCAGTGTATACAGTATATAGAATCCAGGTGTCAGTTTGTATAGTAGATACTCTCCAGGTGTTCAGTGTGAACAGTATATAGAATCCAGGTGTCAGTGTGAACAGTAGATACTCTGCAGGTGTGCAGTGTGTACAGTATATAGAATCCAGGTGTCATTGTGTACAGTATATAGAATCCAGGGTTGGGAGTTGGGGTACAGTCTGTGCTGTCAGAGCTTGTGTGGTGGGAGTTGGGGTGCAGTCTGTGCTGTCAGAGCTGGTGTGGTGGGAGTTGGGGTATAGTCTGTGCTCTCAGAGCTTGTGTGGAGGGAGTTGGGGTGCAGTCTGTGCTGTCAGAGCTGGTGTGGAGTTTGAGAGTTGGGGTATAGTCTGTGCTGTCAGAGCTGGTGTGGTGGGAGTTGGGGTACAGTCTGTGCTGTCAGAGTTGGTGTGGAGTTTGAGAGTTGGGGTACAGTCTGTGCTGTCAGAGCTTGTGTGGTGGGAGTTGGGGTGCAGTCTGTGCTGTCAGAGCTGGTGTGGAGTTTGAGAGTTGGGGTGCAGTCTGTGCTGTCAGAGCTG